TCAGCGAGGAGCTTGCTTCTCCCTCTGACCCTTCCCCCTCTCATGTACTCTCTCTCATTCTCGCTCTCTCAAATAAATAAATAAATCTTTAAAAAAAAAAACATGAATTCAATCAAAGGATTTATATGGGTATAAAATAAAAAGAACCGAGATTAATTTGGGGTATTTTTTAAAATTCTGGTATTTTTTTTCTTTTATTACAGGTTGAGTCTTGCAAATACTGCTGTCTGCATAACTGTTTTAGAGAATGTAGATTATTGCATATTGAAGTTGCTATTTCCCAAACCACAGGTGTTCTAGAATGATTTGGTAATTAGCTATCACTCTTCTTTTTGTACCTATACCTTTAAAGAGCTTTCAAATCTTAGAACAGCTTAACCTATAAATCCCTTTATTTGTCCCATGATCTGTGGATATTATATACCAGTCCAAACTGGTAACTTCAAACTAAAAAAAAAAAAAAAAAAGGAATAATATAACCAAAGATTTTTTAAGATTTGGGCTTAAAAACACTTTGTTATTCTCATAATAAGAAAGTATTTACATTTTAAAAGGAATACCACTATGAAAAGAGTATCTCTCCCGTTAACTGCTCCAAAAGAGCTATTATCTTTGGGAATCCATAATCTTTTAATGCTACAGTTGGGCAAAACAAAATATGCTAGTTATTGCATATTAAAAAAAATTACAGATGTTAACAGTTAAGAATACAAAGAGAGAATATTATTAGAAAAATAAGGTTTCATTAAAAAAAGTTTCTAGTTAATGTAGCACTTGCATACTGAGGAAAAAATCAATTAAAGGAAATAAAGCTATATATAAATCACAGTCATGGGCTAAAAAGGAATTTGAAATATCTGAAAAGAAAAATTTGGGGGTGGCTGGGTGGCTCAGTCGGTTAAGCATCCAACTCTTGATTTCAGCTCAGGTCTTCATCCTCAGGGCATGAGTTCAAGCCCCTAATTAAAAATAAAAAATTTGGGGGCACCTGGGTGGCTCAGTCATTAAGCGTCTGCCTTCGGCTCAGGTCATGATTCCAGGGTCTTGGGATCGAGCCCCGCATCAGGCTCCCTGCTCGGCAGCAAGCCTGCTTCTCCCTCTCCCACACCCTCGCTTGTGTTCCTGCTCTCGCTAACTCTCTCTCTCTGTCAAATAAATAAATAAAATCTTTAAAAAAATAAAAATAAAAAATAATAAAAAATAAAAAATTTTTAAATTAAAAAAAATTTTTTTAAACTTTCTTAAAGGAATTTTTATTTTATTTTTTCTTAATGTTTTTTATTTATTTATTCATGAGAGTCAGAGAGAGAGGCAGAGGCAGAGGGAGAAGCAGGCTCCCTGCCCAGCAGGGAGCCCAATGCGGGACTCGATCCCAGGACCCTGGGATCATGACCTGAGCCGAAGGCAGACGCTTAACCATCTGAGCCACACAGGCGCCCCTCTTAAAGGAATTTTTAGATCTTATCAAATTTTATTCAGTCTCACCCCCAACACATTTCCCTTATTTAATCCTGAAGTAAAATTTATATAATGAAATATCACATTCAACACTAAACTACTTAGAAAAAGCAAGTTTCATATTGCATGATTGATATTATTTATTCTGTTCTTATAAAATTCCAATGGTCATAAAGAGTTTAAGGAAGTATTTAAAAGGCTACCACTGCTTCTCATAGGCATGAAGATTAAATAAGATTATAAGAAAAATAGGGTCACCTGGGTGGCTCAGATGGTTAAGCATCTGCCTTCAGCTCGGGTCATGATCCCAGGGTCTTAGGATCGAGCCCCACATTGGGCTCCCTCCTCAGTGGGGGAGTCTGCTTTTCCCTCTGCCTCCCCCCTCTGTCTTTCTCTCTGACAAATAAATAAAATCTTTAAAAAAAAAAATACAGTAAGTTATTTAACGATTAAAAACAAAACAAAACAAAACCTTTACACTGTAGCATAATGTTGAATGTTAAAAATTGCACTTGCAGGGGTGCCTGGGTGGCTCAGTCATGAAGCGTCTGCCTTCGGCTCAGGTCATGATCCCAGGGTCCTGGGATCAAGCCCTGCATTGGGCTCCCTGCTTCGCGGGAGGCCTGCTTCGCCCTCTCCCACTCCCCCTGCTTGTGTTCCCTCTCTCGCTGTGTCTCTCTCTGTCAAATAAATAAAATCTTTAAAAAAAAAAAAATTGCACTTACAAGTTTATGGAATCTCAGCCTCTAAGGGAAAGGTTCTCTTTGACTCAAGCTCATAATAGATTGGAGTAGCGGTGGCCAGGGAAAAGCAGCTCGTGGCAGGAAACAAACATTCACTAACCAGAGCTACTACACAGAGCTTTATAACCCAAAGCTTTACTTTGCAGGAAGAAAAATTCACAATATACATGCCGACATATTATTATGTGCTGCAGTAAGACAAACACATTAACTTACACATATGACGTGACAGCTCATCTGACACACAAGAAGCCAAAAAGTCACTCATTAAGCCAAATATATAAAATAGATTTACTATTCAAAATCATCACAGAATAAACTGTTCTAAAGAACAGTGTTTCCCCTTTCCTCCTAACCTTTTAAAAACTTACTAAAAGTTAGAAATCTTTCCAACATATATACATAAGTCTGTCTTTGTAAAGAGAACACGGAGAAAATATGAAGATAAAGGCAGAAGGCTTCAGGTGTATGCTTATCATCACCATATCATTTTACTTTCTCATTATGAATCTGGTTTCTCTGTCTGGACAGCCAGCCAGCCAGCAGCCAGCCAGCCAGACATCATCTAAAAAGAGAGTTAGACTAAAGGATTGCTTTTTTAGCAACTCCGAGGCCTTCTGTGCAGATCACATGGCTTTCTGCTGTAGGGAAAGGTACGGCTGCTCTAACACATGGTAGGAAAGTGAGCTGCGCTGTCACTCAGGCCAGGACCACGGACGGCATCAATCTCCTTCCACCTTTCTCTGCCACCAGTCCTTCTCTGTTCTCAGCCATTTCCCTCAATTCCTCCAGTAGCATCTTCCTGAAATATGAGTCTGACCATGACTCTTCTCTGCTTAAAAACTTTTATGGCTTCTGATGTTTAAAGGGTAAAGTCCAAACTCCATAACAAGACACTCAAAGACCTTTATAATCTGACCACAGACTAGCTCTGCAGTCACTTTTCATCTCCTGCCATTATTGTTCCTACAGCAAAAGCTCAACTATCCACCATTCTCTCAGCGTGCACACATGCTCTGTCACACCCAGTGCCTTTGCACATGCTGTTCTGTGTAATGCCCTCAATCTCTGTAATCTGTTCATCCTTCAAAACCTAGTTCAAATGTCACCTCATCTAAGAAGTCCTCCCTCACACCCCAAGGCTGACTAAATCAGTCCCTCTTCCGTGCTCTCATAGCACTTTGTCATGGTTCTGTAATAGCTGTATCATAAATGGACCCACCAACATATTTATTTCCTTTTTAACCAATATAAACTATGATCATCATTTCCAGAGCACTTAGTTACTTACTTAACAGATAGTAAATGTAGAATAAATGTCTATTAACTGAACAAATCTGTGAGTTCCAGGTAAGGCTGTCAGAAACATACTTCCCACTAACACCACCGTAAAGATTCCTCTTTGATCTTTGGTGGGTAGCAACATGGAAAGAATATTAGCCTTGCTAGCTGGAAAGCAGAGCATTGAGAAACTTAAATTTTGCTCAGTAAAGGGCTAATATAGAAGCAGAGTACTACAGTAAATAAAGCATGATCTCTTGAGCCAGAAAATTTGGGTTCAAATTCAGGTCACTAGCAGAGTGTCCTTGGGTAAATCTCTTAATCTCATGACAATTTCCCTATCCATAAAACAAGGATGATAACAACAAATATGTCACAGAATAAAACAAGGCCTCTAGGGTGAGTAAATCCCTTAACCTCTCTGGTGACAATTTCCCTACCTGGTAAAGAAGATTTAAAGAGGATGATAAAGTCAGAGAGCTGTAAGGCCTAACTAAGGGCAGGCATATAAAAGTATTGTTTAAACAAAAGCTATCATCAAATGTAAATGGTTTTCACAAGCATTAGTCACTATGGTAAATGGGAAGATTACAGCTAGAAGGAACGTGTGTGTGGGGGGATGCTAAGGTTAACAGAAGGCAGGCTCCACGCCAGCTCATGCCGGTTGCCATAGTTCCAACCCAAGCTTCTCCTGAAAGAAAGCTTCTATTCCCAAGGGAACACTGACAGAGGTTCAGGTAGAAGGCAAATATTTTTAGAAGGATAGAAGAGATACGCATTTATTCATAAAATATTTATTAAATGTCCACTATGTTCCCGGTACTAACAATGACAACTCAAGCCTACTGTCCTAAGGAAGTGCTTATACTATTTTGCGTGTATTTTCATAAAGATGAAAGTCAATATTCCTTACCCAAGTTGAACCATAGAGCTAACAGCTAGCTCTATACTCACAGAAGAACATTAGCTGTTCAACTCCAGTTACGTGGAACTTCTAACTATTAATAGTATGCAAAGATTTAATCTATAAAAATCAGTATATTTAGGGGTGCCTGGGTGGCTCAGTCGCTTGGGTGTCCAACTCTTGATTTTGGCTCAGGTCATGATGTCAGGGTCCTGGGATTGAGCCCCAAGTTGGGCTCTGTGCTCAGCACAGAGTCTGCTTGTCCCTCTCCCTCTGCTCCTCCCCCTGCTTGTGCTCTCTCTCTCAAATAAATAAATAAAACCTCTAAAAAAATGGAGCGCCTGGGTGCCTCAGTTGGTTAAGCGACTGCCTTCGGCTCAGGTCATGATCCTGGAGTCCCGGGATCGAGTCCCACATCGGGCTCCCTGCTCAGCGGGGAGTCTGCTTCTCCATCTGACCCTCCTCCCTCTCATGCTCTCTGTCTCTCATTCTCTCTCTCGCAAATAAATAAAATCTTAAAAAAAAAATCTCTAAAAAAATAAAATGGGAAGAACAGGTATATTTACCTGAAATACAAGTTTGACAAGGATTTTTTCTTGATGAAACATACTCACCCAAGGCAGGGTATCCAAGGTAAAATCGATCTGCTCCCAACCATCCAAGGAAAAGAGACAGCGCAACTGCCACTTTGTATGAATAGCCATTTCTGTACAAAATTAGAACCTGAGTGTTATATACATGTATTTCCAACATGTAAACATTTTAGGAAACAAAAGTGTTAATTATCACTTATTCGTTAATTTGTTCATTCATCCATTCATTCATTTAATTAATGCCTTTTGGGTAGCTACTGCATGCCAGGCACTATTCTAGGCTATTGGGATATATTAATGAACAAAAGAAACAAAGATCCCTGCCCCTAAAGAGCTTTCAATCTATAGGCAACAAGCAATAAAAATAAACATTTTAAAACTAAATCATATATTATGTTAGAAAGTCATAAATGGGGGCACCTGGATGGCTCAGTCAGTCAAGTGGCTGCCTTTGGCTCAGGTCATGATCTCAGGGTCCTGGGATCAAGTCCCTGGGATTGAGTCTGCATTAGCTCTCTGCTCAGCAGGGAGTCTCCTTCTCCCTCTCCCTTTGCTCCTCTGCTCCCCTCCCCCCGCTCGTGCTCTCTCTTTCTCAAATAAATAAAATCTTTTTAAAAAAAATCATAAATGCTATTAAAAAAAGAAGTGGAGCAAGTCATTTAGGGAATTCAGAATGCCAGAGGTACAGACAAGGGTGATCTAAGATATAAATAGGGTAATAAGAGTAGGCGTCATTGAGAAAGTGATATATAAGCAAAGACCCGAGGGAGGTGAGTTAGTTAGCACGCCACACCTCTAGGGGGGGAACATCCCAGGCAAAAGAACTGCTGCGGTGAGCGCAGCATACCTGACATGTTTGAGGTCTATAAAGGCGGCCAGTATAGCAGGAGTGGAATTAGAGAACAGAAGAATAGTAGGAGCTGTCACAGAGATGACAAGAGGCAAAGAGGGCAAATCATGTATGGCCTTGAATACCGCTGTAAAGACTTTGTACTCTGAAGGATATGGGAGACTACTCCAGGATTTTAAGTAGACGTGTGATATGATCTGATTTAGATTTTAAAATAACTCTAGATGCTCTGCTGAAAATAGACTGTAGGGGAGTACTTGTGAGCTATTGTCACAGTAACATTGTATAACAAACCACCCTAAACCTCAGTGGCTTACAACAATAAGCAATTATCCTCATACTTGTAGACTGCAATTGCCTGTGGTGCAGCTGATCTAGGGTGGGTTCAGCCAGGAGATGCTGCTTCAGGCTAAAGTTTGGGTCAGTCTGAATCCAAGTTACTTATTTAGTTCAAATCAGTTCCTCTTAAGTTTTTCTAGGGCCCAGGTGAAGGTATAGCATTTACCTGGGACTAGTTCTTTTCAGAACATATCACAAAGATTCAAGAAGAGAGCTAAACCTCACAAGCACATTTAAGCCCCTGCTTGTTTCATACCTGCTAGCATTACATAGGACAAATACAATTATATGGTCAAGCCCCAAATCAATAGAGTGGAAAGTATACACCACCCAGTTAATAGTGATTGAGAGGGATGAATTTGTTTAACAAATGCAAGCTACCACAAGGACAAAGGAGTCTGAAGGTTCTTGCCATAATCCAGATGGAAATTAATAGTGGCTTTACCTGGAGTCATAGCAAAAGAAATACTGAGAAGTAATCAGATTCCGGAAATATTGTGAAGTATAACAACTGGATTTCCTGATGTATTCAATTTAGGGAATGAAAAAAGAAAGGAATACGAATAAAGCTAAAGATTTTGTTCTATATAACTAGAGGGATGAAGCTAGCATTAACTGAGTTGGGGAAGGCTGAGGGTAGACTAGTCCTGGAAGGATGTTAAGGATTTCATTGTTGGACATGTGAGTTTGAGATATTTATCAGATATCCAAGTGGAGTTGTTCAAAAGACAGCTGGATTTACAAGTCTAGAGTTAGGGAGAGAAGTCTGGGCTGGAGATATAAATTAGGAAGTTACAAACATGTAGGAAGTATTTTAAACCAGGACATTTCCCTGTCAAAAAAAAAAAAAAAAAAGAGGGAGAGAGAGAGATTCACAGACTAAGCCTTGAGATACTCCAATATTAAGCGATCAAGAAGAGAAAAAACTGAGAAAAAGCTAACAGTGAGGAAGAAATAAAACTAGAAGAGTGTGGTATACTGGAAGTCAAGGGAAGACAGTACACTGTATTAAGGAGAACAGAGTGATCAATTGTGCCAAATGTGACTGACAGATTACTTAAGTAATGGCTGAGAATTTACCACTAAATTTAATCAAAAGGAGTTCATTAATGACCTTAGCGAGGGCAATTCTGGTGATGTGGTACAGGAAAAAGACCAAACAGAGCAGGCTTAAGAAAGCCTGGAATGAGGGGTGCCTGGGTGGCTCAGTTGGTTAAGCGGCTGCCTTCGGCTCGGGTCATGATCCCAGGGTCCTGGGATCGAGCCCCACATCGGGCTCCTTGCTCAGCAGAGAGTCTGCTTCTCCCCTGCCTGCCGTTCCCCCTGCTTGTGCTTGCTCTGTCTCTCTCTCTCTCTGGTTCTGTGTTAAATAAATAAATAAAATCTTTAAAAAAAAAAAAAAAAGCCTGGAATGAAAAAAAATGAAGAACAGGAGTATTAGACAACTCTTCGAAGGAGTTTTGCTTCAAAAGGTAAGTAAAGAAACAGAGAGGTAGCTGGAGTTTTCACTTTAAAGTCAAATCTGATTATGTCAGTCTTACAATCCTGGTTTTTTTGCATTTCACTCACAATTAGGACATTTGGGGGGAGTTGGGGGAGATGGTCGATGGACCAGAGATCCTATTTATGCATCTAATATTGAAAGTATGTCAGATTTTATGCTGAGGGCAGTGGTGTCCCATCTACCCTGGAATGGGGCACCAGACTAGAAATAGAGAAATAAATTAGTAGGCTTTGTAGAAACTCAAGGTATAACCTACTGGGCAGTAGCAGGAGAGAAATGTGAACAAAATTGGGAAATACCAAGAAAGCAGAAGTAACCACACTAAATGTGGGAAATGAGGGGAAAGGAGAAGTCAAGAATGCTCCAAAGTTTCAGCTTAAGAAACTGAGTAGGACAGGTGCCATTCACTAAGACAAAGAATGAGATGACTTGAAGGAGAAGATGATAGATTGAGTTTGGGACCTTAATATATATAAAGATGGTGAGAAAAGCCAAAGGGGTGAATGAATGAAAAAGGGAATAGGACAAGGATATAATCTTGGGGATATCAAGATTTAAGGAAAAAACAAAAGAAGAGGTATCAAAGAAAATAGAAGAGTGTTTTATACTAGAAGTCAAGGAAAGAATTTTAAGAGCAGGAAATGCCAAAGCTGTAGAAAGATTAAGATATGGACTATAAAGATCCATCTGATATAGAATAAAGATTGCTGGTGAATTTCAGCATGGCCAAAAGCTGGACTCCATTAAACAGAAAAGTTCATAAAAAGTAAGTATTATAGGAACAAGCCTTTCAAAAAGCTTGGCTGGAAAGGGTAATGAAATTAGAAACGCAATTATCTATGTATTAGATCACCCTAAAGAATAACCTGAAAATGGGTGGCACAGCAGAGACTGTCTAATTGTTCACTGAGCCACTGCCCTTTTTCTCATGGACATACAGTGAAGTTACATATTCTAGCCCATCTTGCAGTTAAGTGTAGCCATAACTGAGTTTTGCCCAATGTAATGAGGACAGAAATGATGTATGCCATTTCTAGATCTGATCCATAAAACACACCTACCCGGGGTTCCTTTCCCTGTTTCCCATCTGCTGGCTGAATGGAAAGGACTCTGAGGACAAGAGGAAGCAAAGCCAGAGATGAAAGGTGCAAGGCTCCTGCATGACTGCATGGAGCAACAATCACTCCCCTTACCTCACCCAGCCCTCCTCGCCAACACCAACTGGACTATGATGTGAGGAGGAAGTAACTTGTATTGTGTTAAGCCACTGAAATTCTAAAGACATCTGTTGCAGCCGTTAGTCTGCTCCAACTAAAACAGCTGGCTAGGGGCGCCTGGGTGGCTCAGTTGGTTAAGCGACTGCCTTCGGCTCAGGTCATGATCCTGGAGTCCCTGGATCGAGTCCCGCATCGGGCTCCCTGCTCGGCAGGGAGCCTGCTTCTCCCTCTGACCCTCCCCCCTCTCATGTGCTCTCTGTCTCTCTCATTCTCTCTGTCTCAAATAAATAAATAAAATATTAAAAAAAATAAAAATAAAAATAAAAAAAAATAAAACAGCTGGCTAGTATAAATAGGTGTGTGGCTTGGTGATCAATCAGACATGGTTACCAGACTTCAGTTGCTGGAGAATACATAATAGAATGACTATATCTGCAATAGTAAGATGAGAGTTTTCATCAAGTATCAATATTATATACATTTTGAAAAAGAATATGCTAACAGGAGAAGGAAAATATGTGAACTGGGAAAGGAACATTCAATGAGTAAGAATTTGTCAGTGAGCTGGCTCTTTGGTAGACATGTACTGAATATTCTAAGAAAATTATTTATGGGGGAATCTTAATTTTGTGACTTATCATTAAATTTACCCATCAATTTAGCTCCCCTTGTTCTGATTCAATGCTCATTAAGCAAATTCTATTTTGGAATTGTAGATTTTACTATAGGAGGGGAATAAATTGGCCAGTATACTTGCAAATATCTGGTCTCCCTGATAATTACATTTCTTCTGATAACTGACATCAGTGTCTTGTGAGCATGATTAGTACAGCTCAGTCACACTGAGCCTAATCTACCCATAGACACTGAAAGAAAAATCAGAATTAACTTGGAAATTGAGTAACAGACCATGGTGGTGTTACCATTACAGGTAATATAAACCTTTAAGTCCAACCTGAGTGGTTAGCTGTTCTCAACATATGACTGATTTTCTAAGTTGTTATATTATAACCTATGATGTCTTAGATCAGCACTTAATAAATTCGTAGTCATTTGGAATTTTTATGGTAGAAATATCAATCCAGGGACGCTGGGTGGCTTAGTCAGTTAAGTGTCTGCATTTGATTCAGGTCATGATCCCAGGGTCCTGGGATCGAGTCTGACATTGGATTCCTTGTTCAGCGGGGAGCCTGCTTCTCCCTTTGCCTGCTGTTCCCCCTGCTTGTGCATGGCCACTCTCTCCCTCTCTCTGACAAATAAATAAAATATTAAAAAAAAAAAGAAATATCAATCCATAAATTCAAAGCTTGGCTAAACCATATATAAGTACTTGGGAAGTAATTCCTTTTAGCAATTTTTACTTTACTAATGAGAAATCTTGGAACCCAAAAAGCTTAAGTGATTGGCTTAGGATTACACAGCAAGACAGAATCTAAAGCTTCTCATTAACTCAGTGAAGGAAGGTCAAAAGAAAAATAAGACTCCACTAGTAATTTCTAGGAATTCTAACAGAACTGGTAGAAATAGCCAAAGAGTTTAAAAGAAAGAAAGAAAGAAAGAAAGAAAGAAGAGCGAGAGAGAGAGAGGGAGGGAGGCAGGGAGGGAGGGAAGAAGGGAGGGAGGGAGAGATAGAGAAAGAAAGAAAGGAAGGAAGGAAGCCAAACAGTGGTTATTTCTTGATACAACTGTAAATAGGAGCCATCGAATAAAATGGAACAATGTACAGTTAAGAGATAAAAGTATAGTGCCACCAATTAATAAGAATGGGTAAAACTAAATCATGTTTTTAGTATAAGGCAGAAATATAAGATGTTAGCTTTACTACAGCAAAAATAAAAAGCAAACTTAAAAGTCCTTTAAACAAAGAATACTCCTAACAAAATAAAGCCACTTGTCTTAACGTCCCAAATGAATTTTCAAATTCTGTTTAACCATTCATCATCCATACCTATTACAAAGAATGAAACCAAATTTCAGAATGCCCTTAATATGCAAATGATTAATAATTAACATTCTTTTATTTTTTTTAAGGATTTATTTATTTGAGACAGAGAGAGAAAGAGGGAGAGGGAGACAGAATCTCAACAGACTCCACATTGAGCACAGAGCCCAACCTCATCAGCCTGAGATCATGACCTGAGCCAAAACCAAGAGTCAGCTCTGAACCAACTGAACCACCTAGACATCCCAACATTCTTTTAATACTAAAACTACATGATCCCTTTTTTGCACTCTAGAAATCCCCCAAATTTTAAAAACAGAATTTTTTATAACTCATTTAGTGGCATAAACTGACTGAGTTAACATGGCATGAGGCTATTCACAGTCTTTATCTATCCCACATAGTGAACTACTGTGCTTTACTTGGTGGTAAATTGCATTTATATTAACAATATGCACACTTAAAATAGAGGTTTTCTGAGAAAGGCAAAAAAGATAAATTATATTAGTGCAGTATTTTCCCCATAAATTAACTTTTTATCTCTTTATTCTATGTAGTCAAGATACAACATAGGCAAGTAACCTAAAAATTTAGCTTCAGTAATGGACTTACACATTTCGGCAAGATATAGGCTTGATAAAACCAACTTCATTTCCAGTAAAATGTGTTTCATTGCCACCAAAATCCTTACAAGTTATGTTGGGTGCTGGAAAACAAGGAACTAAAGGCAGGGGAAAAAAAAAAAGCAAGAAACCACTGTTTTTCTGCAGAAAAGGTATGTAATCATGTTTAAGACTAGCAAAAAGCACAAGAAAATACAAAATTATAACACACCACCTCCCAATATAACACCTAACATGAGACTTTAGATAGGAATATCTAAACAAAGGATAATATGATATAGTGGTCTCAACACAAAAATATAAGAATTGTCACATTGGGTTCAATGCATGACCCTTCTAGTTCAATCTTCTGCCTCCGACAAAGATGACAAGGGAAGAATTGCACAGTATTACTGCCCTTTACTTCATCTCTAGGGTAAAGAATACTTCTCAAATTTTTGTTGGTAACTCATCGGGTAATTCATTAAATTTAACATGATCTGATAGTATTTTCCGTTTTTATTAACTCTTGCAGAAGACAGTTACTATAAACTAAGATTCTTTTCATCTACTCTAAATAATTTTCTTTTTTAAAAGTTGTTTGTTCATTTTATTTGTTTATTAAGTAATCTCTATGCCTAACGTGGGGCTTGAATTCACCACCCCAAGATCAAGAGTCACATGCTCTACTGAGTGAGACAGCTAGGTGTCCCCCACCCAGATTACTTATTCCAAATATATTTGTTTCTCTATTCCCTCTAGAAATTGATGTAGAATACCACTTTAGCATTTAGCGTTTTTGATCTTTACTCCTAATCCAGATGACATAATAAGAGGAAGTAATACAGAGCTTACTATGTGCTAGGCAGGAGCTGTCCTGAAGCCTTTTAGCCTTATTGTGTAAAGAGCTATGTGCATTGCCTTTTTCAAAACCTCAGATTCCTTGTAGATAAAAATAGCACTAAGATCACCTCTTCATAGGACCATTGTGGGGATTAAATATGATATAAAGTACCTAGTACAAAGCACAGCATACAGTAGCTATTCAATAAATGTTACTGCCTTTTCCTCCACCATTTCTGATTAAAAGGTACTAATGCTTTTAGGCTAATTTCAGACTGCTTATCTCTATGTTTAGGATCAATAATTATAGGATTGTGGTTTGTTTTTTCTTTTTTGAGAAAATGAAAATAGAACCTTGTATAATAGTCTAAAAAAACCCACAGAAGCCTAGAGTTTTATCATGAAAGGAAAATGGTATTCATTTTCTGTCTACTTTATAATTATCTTATGATTTCCAACGAATCATTGTCCTTTTATAGGCCAGAGTAGTACACTGAGAAAACGATGTCGGAAAAAAACGTAAAATTACTTTACACACTTTTGTTGGGTTATTGAAAGTTCAAACTACGTCACCTATAAACTTAATTTATTTAATGTATTTACATGTCCAAAACCAGGTATTTACACTAAAAGACACAGATTCAGTATAAATGAGAACCATTTAAACAAGCAAAAAAGTAATAAAATGAAGGGAAGACAAAGAGTGAGGAAATAATATACAGTTGACTCTTGAACAACACTGGTTTGAACTGCATACATATACTTATATGTGGATTTTCCTCAATGGCTACAACACAGTACTGTAAATATATTTTCCTTATAATTTTCTTAATAATATCCTTTCCTCTAGCTTACTTTATGTAAGAATACAGTATATAATACACATAACATACAAAATGTGAATTAATCAACTGTTATCAATAAAGCTTCTGGCCAACAGTAGGCTATCAGAAGTTAAGTTTTGGAGGAATCGCAAGTTATACACAGACTTTCTATTGCACAGGGGCCAGCGCCCTAACCCTTTGATTGTTCAAGGGTCAACTGTCCTAGGAAACAAGCAAGAGAAGACATTGTAATTGAGCCACAAATTTAGATCAGAGCTTCCTGATAGTTAAGACAGAAAGCTTTACAGAGCTTTTGTGGTATAATTGAAAGACAGCATTCCAATTCACCTCTAAGCAACTGCGGGAACTTGGTTTGGTTCATGACCCAAGGGAAACACAGAAAGTCCTCAATAAGAACGTTTACAAAACATAGAGGTTTCCCACACAGCCATTTCTTGACTCCAAATATAAGCAAGGATTTATAATCTACAGAGATGGGGCAAAAGTTAACAGACAATTTATATGTACCTGTTTGGACACCTGCCTTGATACTGGGATAAAATGTACTGACTTTTGTGAATAAATTATTACCACGACCCTTAGGTGATATCTCTTGAAAATCTGCCATCTTAGGTCATGTCTAGCACTATATAGTAGATAACTCAAAATTGAGATTAGCAAATGTCTGAAATGCTTATATTCCACTTTATTGACTGAAAGAAGATCAATATGCTCTATTTCAATGACCAAGGGCAATTTTGTTCCCCAGGGGACATCTGGCAATATCTGGAGACATTTTTGGTTGTCACCTCTGAGGAGCTGCTACTGCCACCTAGGGGGTACAGGCCAGGGATGCTCCTAAACATCCTACAATGCAGGGGCGCCTGGGTGGCTCAGTCGTTAAGCGCCTGCCTTCAGCTCAGGTCATGATCCCAGGGTCCTGGGATCAAGCTCCTCATCGAGCCCCTCATCGAACCCCTCATCGAGCCCTGCATCGGGCTCCCTGCTGGGTGGGAAGCCTGCTTCTCCCTCTCCCATTCCCCCTGCTTGTGTTCCCTTTCTTGCTGTCTCTGTCAAAAAATAAATAAAATCTTTGGGGCACCTGGGTGGCTCAGTCATTAAGCATCTGCCTTAGGCTCAGGTCATGATCCCTGGGTCCTGGGATCGAGACCCGCATCGGGCTCCCTGTTCGGCAGGAAGCTTGCTTCTCCCTCTCCCACTCCCTCTGCTTGTGTTCCTGCTCTCTCGCTCTCTATCTCTCTGTCAAATAAATAAATAAAATCTTTAAATAAAAACCATCCTACAATGTATAAAACAGCCTCCTCACAACAAAGAATTACCTAATCCAAAACATCAATAATCCCAAGGTTGAGAAACCCTGCTCTAGACCAGTGGTCTTCAAAAAATTTTACTTGCACCCTTCCTAAAGTAACTTTTTACAACTCTGTACTCCCTTACACACTTAAGTTGATATCTAAAGTTTTTCATCATGGACTTAAATGGTTGGAAAAAATATAATTTCCAGCATATTATAAATATTGCCATTAAACGTTATAGCATGCTTTACAATGAAATCTAAACACCACAACAATTAATAGCCATCATCATCCAACAGAGAATGGATAAGAAAGAGCTCCTCTTGAAAATTCAGAAATTTGGAGGCACCTAGTTGGCTCAGTCAATTAAGCATTGGACTCTTGATTTCGCCTCAGGTCATGATTTCAGGATATTAAGATCAAGCCCTGCACAGGGCTTGGTGCTCAGTGGGGAGTCTGCTTCACTCCCCCTCCCTCTGCCCCCTACCCCAAGAGCTCCCTCTCTAATAAATAAATAAATCTTTAAAAAAAATAAAATTCAGAAAATTTACATCAATTTTAGGAAAAGTAAACACATAGTATCTGAGGATCTGGAAATCAATTCTGATTTATTCCATCCCCCCCCCAAAAAAAAGATATGTTTAAGTACTAATCTTCAGTACCTCAGAGTATGACCATATTTGGAAGTAAGGTCTTTGCAGATGCTAACCAAGTTAAAATGAGGTCACTAGCCCTAATCCAATAAGACTTGTCCTTATGAATAGGGGAAATTACATGCATACATAACAGGGAGAAGATGATTTGAAGACATACAGAGAGAATGCTATGTGAGGACAGAGGCAGAGATCAGACTGATGCAGTTACAAGCTAGGGAATGCCAAGGATTGCTGGCCACCACCAGCAGGTCAAAAGAAGGGAGGATATATTCCACCCAGAGTTTGAGAGGGAGTATGGCCCTGCCAACACCTTGATTTCAGATTTCTAGCCTCTAGGACTGAGACCGTCAATGTCTATTATAACACTCTTATAACAGCCTTAGGAAACTACTTCAACAATGATACCTGTTTACCTCTTGGAAAGCTCTGTGTACTTCCAGGAGTACATGTACTAGAGTTTAGGCATCAGGCATATAAATCAAAGAGATGTCTGGTTTAAAAAGTTACTTTTTTGCCTTGATGAGGCCCATTCCACTTCCATAAACAAGTGACCTGCAAGAAATCTACAAACACAAGTTTTTCCTCAAAATGGATCTTTAATTTTTTTAAATCCTCAAAATAGTAAGTTCTGGATTGGCAAACTGTGCCATTAAACAGAATTCTATTGCTAATTTTTTTTTTTTTTTTTTTTGTTAAGATTTTATTTACTTGGGCGCCTGGGTGGCTCAGTTGGTTAAGCGACTGCCTTCGGCTCAGGTCATGATCCTGGAGTCCCTGGATCGAGTCCCGCATCGGGCTCCCTGCTCGGCGGGGAGTCTGCTTCTCCCTCTGATCCTCCGCCCTCTCATGTGCTCTCTCTCAAATAAATAAATAAAATCTTTAAAAAAAAAAGATTTTATTTGAGAGAGACAGAGAGCGAGCACAAGCAGGCAGAGTGGCAGGCAGACGGAGGAGAAGCAGGTTCCCCGCTGAGCAGGGAGCCCTTTGTGGGGCTTGATCCCAGGACCCTGAGATCATGACCTGAGCCGAAGGCAGATGATTAACCGACTGAGCCACCCAGGCACCCCTCTACTGCTAAATTTTAGATAATCTTCCTCAAACGTATTACCTTGCACTTACTTGCTCAGTTTGAAGCTGTCACTTTCTTGTCTCACAGCCAGATCTTGTGAGATCTTCCTGCAGACTATCTAAAATCAGATCTTAAAGAGATATTTGCAATGCAAAATGCTATAATTATGATTCCAGTTGGGGTTATTGTCCAATACACCTTGCCTAATAAAAATTGTTTTTTGAGATGACAGTTTCCTGTACAACATTTTAAAAAATCAAACATTGATAGGTGAGTTGAAAAAAGGCCTTATAAGAATATTAAATACTAAGAAATCATACCTTTCTATTTTCAATTAGATACTATTAATTGTTCAAACAATAAATTTTGACAATTATAGTTTTCAACGGTATTTTATCATTTCTATTATAG